GGATTTAACCAGACCATCTGGGCAGGTCATATTCATGCGGCGCTGTATTCTGCTGGCCTGACACGCAATGGTGGCTGGCCTGCCTGGCTGCTGTCTCCTGCAATAATCCCTGAGTTACAGTCCAACATGAAAAACTACCTATGTGGAAAATCCAGTGTGTTTTGCTCAGCAGTTGTCCTGCCTTCTCTCCCCACACGGTGCTCAGGGTGCTGGGGGAGATATTACTATGGTCTGATTGGTTTCTTTTCTCAGTACCATTTGCTTCCTGGACATGGTGCAGTCCCTTTTCCCAGTTCTCCACCAGATTCCTCTCAAAATGAAGCATTCATGTGGCTCCACAGATCCTGTTTTTCACTCATGGTTTTGATTTTCCTGCCCCCACTCCATGTAAAGGGGGATCTACAGAAACAGTGTTAATAATTTACCTCTGTGCCACTGCCTTGGACAAAGTTTACCCCAACATCCTCAGCTACTTGCTGAGGGGGGTGCTGATTGTGTCCATCAGTTCATGTGTTTCCACACTGTTCCACTGAGTTGCCAGGCAGTCTTGCATGGATATTACAAGTGGTATTTGCCCTGGCATTGGTGTTCCTGCAAAATCACAGCCCTGTCGCCTTCTGGATCAGCCCCTGGTTATGAGCTCCCACCTCTGGAAAGCTGGGCTCTTCTCAGGAGCACTGAAGCTCCCACAATGGTTTCTCAGCACCCAGCTGTTAGCATGCAGTTAGTTGGGTGCTGATTTTTTAGTTCAGTTTGGGGTTATGCTCATTTATAGGGCTTGTCTAGGTGTGATTACATACATCCCTCATCAGTTAATATATGGAAACTGACTCCAGAATGTGAATACTTCAAAGTGTGTCTGCTCTGGCATGCTGAAGAGTAAGTTGGAGATGCCTTCATGCATTTGGGTTGCTAATGCCCAGGACTCTCAAAAGAGAGCCATGGTTTCAGATACACAGTGAATTCCTGGGGGTTCGAGAATGCCAGCCTTTGTTTTTCATAAGCCATGATGTGGTACAAGGATGAGACTTCCAGTGTCTGTGTGGAAGAAGTGTGGTGTTAGGAAAGCCTGCCAGCTCACTCCTGTGGCAGCCCTGGTGTTGTAGCAGCACCCGTTTCTTGCTGTAGCCCAAGCCGCTCTATGGTCTTGCCTCCTACCTGCAGCTTTCTTGTTTGGGAGAGACCTTCCTCCTTGCGTTATTACTTTGGACACTTCAAAAGCAGAAGCTGCTCTCCCCGGGCGCAGGTGCATCCCTGCACTGCAAGGCAGCAGTGCCACCTCGGGGCACTTCCCAGAATTGGGAAGTCTGCTAAAATACGGGTCAGCGTTCCCATGTTTGCACACTCCTGCAGTCCCATCGGGTTCATGCTGCTGGAGAGCTTTCCAAAACGCAAACTACCTGCTGTGCCTTCTCCAGCTCGTTTGTCGCGCTGCTTTAAAAACCCTATTCAAGTTGAAACACCTCTCCTAGCACCCCGGCTACCTTTTAGTATCAGCCAGCGATGACTTGTTCCATCTTGGTTTCCCTGAGAGCGTGAACCTGCCTTTTGTTGAAGTGCACAGCTGAGTACAGTTGTGCTTGTGCCTTTGTTCAGGATAGCTCTGAGAACATAGGCACTGGGGCCGTTTCAGTCATTTAATACTTTGCACTTAAAACACTATTTCTATTCCCTTGAATAGCAAGGATAGGCTGCTAGGATAGGCAGCAGCTGTTGTCACGAGTAAGATCTCTGTGACCAGCAGAAAGGGCAAATGCTGTGCTGGAAGTTTAGAAGGCAAGTGGCTGCAAACACTGGCTTAAGAGTCTGGCTAGGGCTGCCATTAAGGTCAAGGTTTTTCTTTTATATATGTTCCCAGGTATTATATGTGAGGCTAGTACTGGTACTTGATAGCAAACCAGCACCACAGCTGAATAACTCAGCCCAAAATAACCACAGTCATGAATCTTCGTTAAAGCCTCCTTCTGTTACAAGCCCTCTTCTGTATTACACTGCTAGAGAATGTTGGACAAACACTGAACTGTGTGGCTTATCATTTGGATGCCACTGATAAGCACTAAGAAGGCCAAATCAAACAGAACTCATTTCTTCCCCAGAGCCAGGTATCTGCCCTGCACCTTAACAGTGCAGTGCTACATAATCCTCACCAATAACCCCTCTACAGCTCCAGAGGAACCCAGGCTTCCAGAGGAACTCCAGAAGTCTCCTTCTTAAAGCTGCTTTCTTCTTTCGTCTTATGTAGTAACATAAGACAATCAGGAAAAGCTTGGAGCCTTTTCCTGTGTTTAAGCTCTGTTGGGCTTCAACAGCAGACATTAGATGTTTCTTTCCTGCATGCTTAGATGAGCAAGGGCTGCACAAAACCTATGCTGATGAAACACCTACTGTCCAGTTTTCATTCACCTCATCCAAGCTGTGTCAAGCCTCAGGAGTGTGGTCTTGATAAGATACCACAGTGCTTACAGAAGGAAAAATACTGCCTGCAAGCAGTTTTAGAAAAGGGCAGTAGCGACCCCGTGCAGCAGCAGCAGCACTTAGCACAAAGGGCTTGGGCAGTTTTTCATCTTGTGCTTCCCAGCTGGGACCAGAGAGAAGACAATGATGATTTCTGCTGCGTTTGTTGGGCAGCTGCGTGGACACATATAGTCAAGCAGGAAAACCTGTTGTATTTCTTTTTATTGTAATAGAAAAAAAACACAAATAAATCAAAACATCAACTTTCTGCCTAAAGACATTATTAACATTTTTAAAATGGCACAGGGGAACCCCAGCAATACAAGACAGATCAGTAAGTGTGTGTGTGTGGGGAAAAAAGGCTCTGTTCCCTTTCAGGAGTTCAGTTTCCCCACCCCTTTGTCAATCAGCTGTCTGAAGTTTGTCACCTATATACACTTACATACACTTCTTAGTTTATATTTCTATGGGTGGAACATTGGGGGCACAGTCCTGCAATTTGCACATAACCATCTTTGGGGAAAATGGGTTTCCCAAGAGGCCCACAGGGTATCAGGGTCTCGTTACCCAGTAAGACCAAGCAAACAGGATTCCATCCTACAGTTCCTTTGCCATGAAACACAGAGTAGGTCCCTAGCCCAGGGGACCCTCTAGATGCTCCTTGGCTATTGCAAACAGTGTATGGCCAAGGCAAATTTTACCCAGTGACCTTAAAGTAGCAGCAACATCTCTTCTGCAAAGGGCCTGCTCAGGAGGGGAAAAGGCAGATTGCAGAAAGTATGGGGTGAACATCTTCCTGTTCTTTCCTGACTCCTGAAGGGATGTAAAAAGTCCTGAATTAGGCAGCCAAAGCAGAAACCAGGCTCAGGACCTCTAAAGTGGTGGGCATACAGGGGATATCCTCATCATGCGAGAGCGTGGGGCAGAAAGTGTGGCACCAGTGCTTCCACTGCAGGCAGCTGCACTTGAAGTGATAGTTTGCTGAAAGACAAGCAACCACAGCTATACTGCTTGCAGGTACCACACTACGTACCTGGATGTTGGGCTGCACCATATCAGGCTGAGTACACCTGTTCGACTGAGGAAGCTCCAAGACCTCTAACAAGCTACAGCACTTGTGGCTGCAGGGGCCACTGCCGTGCACTCAGAGCAGGTACACACAAAACCGCAGAATGGACTGACAGTACCCTGCTCCCCCTTGTGTAGCAACTGCACAAGGTGCCCGGCAAGAGAGTATGTGACAGAGTGGCTAAACTGCAGTTTTCCTCCCTTCCACCCCCTCAAAAATATGAACCATTATAGTCCACACTGAGTAACAGCGTGAGAAACTTATATTGTATTATTCTGGGAGAAAAGAGCCCAGGAGAGGAAAGGCATCTCCTTCAGGTATGCAGGAAGTTTCCAGTGCAGCAAGTTTGAGATCCAGGACCGACCTTGCAGCAATACTTTCCACAACAAAGCACTGGACAAAGGGCTATACATTTGCAGAGATGCTTTTTCAGCAGCATCTGGGATGTGCAAATCCCCATTTCTGGAGCATCAGCAATGTTTTGGGGTTTGTCTGATGTCTTTCTTCTGTTCCTTCCTAAATGCAACTGCTATAAAATTGCTCAGGAAAATAGTGTATATACATGCATGAAAAGAAATTAGTGTGCCTATTCTTTCATTCCCCCAATCCTTTTCCACTGCAAGTAATTGCAAAGCTGTAAGAATCTTAAACTAGAAGAAGCAGTATTGATACAATCTAATGTTAATCTAAGGACAGGACTGCTTCTGCATGTATCCCAATGAATTCAATTTTTTCATAGAAGAGCTTGATTTTACTCTTCCTCCTTTTCTTTACATTTGGGGAGACCTACCAACCTATTTCTCTTACACTCAAACAAAGACCTCTCAGTTATGCATTTGACTGCTTTGGAAAGGACAGCAATATCAAAGAAAGCTAAATTCCTATTGTGTCTGCAACTAGATACTGAAGGCAGAATGGTCCACTTTATATTATCATGCAGTTGTCAGGCTATTCCTGCCTTGCTGTACTGTAACTGGCTTGGTAAGAAAAAAAACCAAACCCAAAAGCCAAATAGAACAGCTCTTATGCAAAGGTAAGTAAGTTCACAAGGTTAACTATCTGCCAGTAATCTTACGTACCAGTAAGAGAAACCTTTCAGTTCATTTTACTTTCACCTGGAATCATGAGATTCTGTTCTGTCAGCTGGCTCCATCCCATAACTCTTGGATCCAGCGTTACAAGGCTCTTGGTAACTCCCTTCCCCACACAGCTCGTCTCACTGAAAGTTTCAACTTGAGCATGACACAGACACACGGTTCAGTTTGATCGCCTTTCCCACACAGCTGTGCCACTGCAAACACTCAAATCAGATGAGTTCAGCTTTTCCCCTGAGCAAACAACTTAATATCAATGAAAACATGCAGAAGACTAATCCTGGGATACCTTTACTTCCTAGGCTACCAATAGTTCCTTTGCCTTTTTGCTACAGACTTCAGCAAACACCCCCATATATAGGCAATGATAGGAGAAAGATGCAAGCCTGCAAGGGACAGCCGGGACATCCCTTATTTACTCCAAATTGTGTAATGAGCTCTTGAATGCTCATGGAATGAACTCCCACTTACCATCACAGGAGTTACTTAGAAAGTGTCAGCCTACTTGAACAAGACAGCCTTTATAAATTAGTATAATATTATTAGAAATTATGGCAATCTTTTTGGTAGCATTCTTACATGCACCCTGATAAATCCTCTCCCTAAGAAATTTTAAAATTTGTCTTGTAACTTCTGTAGAGTTAATTCTGATGAGAAATTATAAAATAGAAATCTGGTATATTGATGTTTAAAAAGGAAGAGGCCTGGTGAGGCTGGGCACACTGGGTCACTCCTGTTAGCTCTGTCCATTATGTCTGCTGAAGGTATTTCCTCCGGGTGGCTGGATCTGGATGGAGTCCAGGAGGGGCCTTAAAGCTTGTCCAAAAGGTCTGAAAAGGTAAAGAAATAAACATCTCAGTAATCACCTCTTGATGAAAAGCTTTTCCCGTTTACTACTGAAGTGCACTCACTTCCTAGAGTGCAATCAAACCAACACTGTAGAAGCAAATTTGAAGAACAGACTTCCACTATGAACTGAAGGTAATTTAACCTATTAGAGTTTACTGTTCAATAACCAAGAATCTCAAACATGATTTTATGTAAGCTAGTTCTGAGTCCTAACATGCCCAGACTGCTAATGTGGTAATACTGTGTCTGAAACTGGCTTTTAGTAATTCATTCTACTTAAGTGTGTGAATGAAAGCCCTGTTATGCAACTGCTGTGCTCTGTTAAGTACCACATCAATATTAAAGACTGCTAGAACAGCCTCTAGCTCCCTCATAAGACAATGGTTCAACACTCATAGAATAATTGCTGTTGCAATCTATAACACCTGGTTTATCTTTCAGTATTACGCACTCCGTTACAGACTTCATCTGATTTTGAGACATCTGAAGCAATAAGAGCACAGGGTAGAAAAACGCGTGCCTCCTCAAAAACGTGGTATGCCACTGTTACGAGAAATAAGACCTATATGAGGGAGCTCAAACCAGCCCACTGGGATCCTCACTATCTTAAAGTTAAAAGAGGAAAAAGAAGTTGAGCTGGACTACCAGGCAGGAATTCTTCATTTCCTCTTTTTCTATCCAGTCCTAGCTTTAAAACTGCAATGTTAATTTTAAAATTACTTTTCCCTGACTCTTCACAAGCAAAGCTGATACCTGCACTGCAGTTATGGAGTAAGAGAAGTGACCTGCTATGGAGAGTGGTTTCCTCAGACAAAAAAGCAGAACAACAAAAAAACCCAAAACTTGCACCATTTTCTGAAACTTTTTATGCTTGTCTGGTGACATTTAAGAGACCATTGCAAAATAACTAGTGTAAGTCAAAGGCAGCAGATCAAATTTATCGTGTCTTTTCAGTAATGTCAGTGCCAGTCAGCACTTGTTGTACAGTGTTGTAAGCGTTGAAGTAAAGCAAATAGCATCCTCTCATTAATCTTACAGTGGTTCTCTGCCATATTTGTAAGCACTGGCCCGAAACAATACACTACGGAAAGGAGCAGCATGCATACTCACGTGGCAAGAACTTCAGCTGGAAGGTCGGTGATGTAGGAAGGGATTTTTCTTCCTGTCAGGAACTGTGCCACTTCATTACTGAAGGTGTTGCAGTTATGTTCAAAGAGGTTGTAAGATTCTCCTCTGTGCCACAGGAAAGGAATTGAAACATAAAAATACAGACTCAGCAATAAATCTAACAAGCAAAAAACTTCAACCCCTAATGAGGAACATCCTCTTACATTAGCACTTTTTTCTCCACGAAGAATTCTAAGGCAAATGCAGACATCAATTCACCTTCAAATTCAATTGAATTAGAGAGGAAAATCGCATCTCTGCATCACTGACTTCATACAATGTTTTTTGGATGGTAAGTGAGGTCAGGGTTCTTCACAGAAGGAATAATGAGAAATCACAGGAATTACTGACATTGAAATATAGCCAGAACACTAAATGCTACTTTCCCATTCTTGTGAGAAGTAGACCAGACTCTTTAACAGTCAAGACCTTGCTTTTACTCATCTGAAATTTGGCAGCTTTAATACAACACTTTACCTATGACTCATGGGGCAAAGCACTATTTACTGAAATATTTCATATAATGCCTTCATTTTCCCTGGTGATTCTCTCAAAGGCATTTCAGGCATTGTTCCATTTTACAAAAAGCAGCATGAAAGACTGGCTGGCACAACGTTTTCTCAGCCTAGCTCAAGGCTGGCACACTAGAGGGTTGCCTAGCTGGTAGCTCCTCATGTATCAGTGCATCAGTTCCAGTCTCATAGTTAGAAAGTACCAAATAGTACACTTAGCAGACAGAGCTTTGTGAGCAGGATTGGTTTCATAATACCTTCCTCCATTCTGCATCCCTTCCCCTAAAGGCTCTTTCTGTTGATTTTACAGTACAAGCTGCTACTTACCGGAACATAGATTCCCCCAACGAGGAAAGATACTCTAGAAAAATTTCTTCTGTGACTTCAGTGTTCCCCAGGTCAACAACAGTGTCTGGAGGTCCAAGAAGTGTTCCTCCCTGTAAAAATTAACAGTCAGAAGACAATGTTAAATGGACAGACTGAATTATTTTGAATGATTCTACTGAATAGAGCTGTCATGTCTTGTCCAGGCACAAAAGAAGGCACATTTGTCAAACAAAAAGCCCTACTGGCCTCCCCTGTTCTGGGAGCATGTTAGTTCATGTATGGGAGCATGTAAGTTGTACGTTACTTCTCATTCTCTGAGAAGTAACATGTATTCAGCTTGTCTACTTGGCTGTTTATGCTGAAAGCTCTAGGCTATGGTGAAATTCTGCTTTAGAAGAATCGTCCATCAGTTTTGCCTCTCCAAGAGCAGAAAAGTCTGACAAAGCATCATGATTTTATTATTTAAGATTTAAAAAGCATGCCTTGACTTGCCATGTCAGCACATAAAAGCCCTTGATTCCGAATTTGACAAGGCATCACTCCAGCAATGCAGCTGCAGAAGGTGTTATGGATAGATAGATTCTCCCAGCAGAAGCAACTCTCAACCTGTATTTAGTTGGGCTTAAACCTGCTGTCCATGCTCCCTTTCCCTCAGATGCCCTGGGAAACCATGGCAAGCAGCCATATGTAGCTGAATTCAGAAGCTTCTTGCTGCTTTCTTAGAAGACAGTGTCATAAGCAATTCTGATCAGGTAACCCTATCACAAAATTATCAGAAAAATAAGTTTAACTTACAGGTGCACAGCTGGAGATTCCTCCACTGCCATAGAAGAACTCGTCCTTATGGACTATTATGGAGGTGTGCCTGCCACAGAGAACAAAAAAAAAAAACCAGGTGAAACAATAGAAATAATTAACCTAGCATATAAATCACTGGTAAATTTATGTGCTCAAAGACAATATGAAGTGAACAACTGAAAGAAAAAAGGTCAATGTGTTTCTGTAAGAACAGGATCTGCTGGGACATGAATGGATATGGAAGCAGTGATTATCAAGACTACTGTAATACTGTAAGTGGTTGGGAAAGAACAGGTGTAGTTATGTGCTCAAACATGAAGGACCATAGGAAGAGGGGAGCTTCCCCACTGGCATGAGATCTCCAGCAGCCTCTTTCAGCTAAAGGGTTGAGAGTGAACTCACAGAGACAGAGAGACAGAGCTAGCTGTGTTACCACACTGACAGGAGTGCAGGTCTGACAGACACTGACTGAGAGGAAGGTCAGAGAATCGCTGGAGATTGGTGAAGAGAGAGGAAAGTGGGAGCTTTGGGAGTGTGTGTTTGCCTTAAAAAAAAACCCCAAAACCAACCAGCAACCACCCTCTTGATAGGAATTATAGCAAATTGGAGTGTGTTTTGTAACCAAATATAGCCACTGATCTTACGTGCCAGAATGCCTGATTTTGTAATACCTTCTTCCCACCTACTCTTTATTCTCATGTTTAGTTATGCCAGCAATTAGAAAACAAAGAAAACATCCTACCCTTGAAAAAGCATACAAGTGCATTAAAATGCAACAACTACTAACAATTTTTTTCATGGGGTCCATTGAGCTTTGGATGGAGAAGTTCAACCAGCACCTGACTGTACGTCATCTTACTGTCAATCTGTATTCAGGAAGCAAAAGTGCCTTGGTCTCTCCTTAGCACCAAAGTGTTCTTAAGACCTGAAGCATACATAACTCATATTGAAAATACTTCCTACACCACATAGTGTTCAACGCACATTATGCAATTTAAATCTAGTCACTTACCATATGCCATCCAGCTGTTTCCCTGTATGCAGAGAAAAGAAGAGTTATTAGCAACATATTTTCCAGATTTCAGCCTACAGTCTGTCAATCACATAAGAACTATGCTTATTACTTCACCATGACAATAATGCCAAAGATTTCATCCCATAGTTTCTTCTAAAGAAACAGAATGTCTTTCTTTCAAATGAACTACCCAGTCCACACTAGCACTGTACTCTTTTCCTCCTGTATGCAGAGGTGGCAATGCCATCCTATCCTGCCAGTGCTTACCTTTCTTAGGCTTTTGTCTACAGAACAAGAAAAAAAACCCAACTTCTCCTCAAATTCGTGTCTTCAGTCAGGACAAGAAGAGTTGAAGTTTGCACAGGTTTTGTAAGTGCAGGCAGTTAGCCAGCACAGACTATCCAGTTTTTTTCGGTGATCTGACTTGAACATATGATCTGTGGTAATAGTCTCTCTAACCTATTCCATGGTTTCCTCTTCCCTCCTTCCCCCCCGCCTTAAGAATTACCAGTTTAAGTGGGAGTTGGGTGGGGAGAAGTGCAGGGTTGAAATTTATGCAAATTATTGTGTGTTTTGTAGAACACAGCAGCAAAGACTTGCTTCAGGCATCGCTAAACTGATAAATATAATTGTGTCTTTTGAAATGCATTTCCAGTTCCCTAGAAGTGGGAAACCTAAACCTCTGTATTCATGGCAGGATCTCAAGATCAAACCTCTCTTCAAAGGGTCACCAGCTGTTACTGCTGTCGGCTCAATTTTATCTATCATAACCTAAAGGCTTGGCTTCTCTGCTGAAACTGTAAGAGTTGGTGTCCAGCTTCTTCCAAGATACATGATCTGCTAGCAGTGATGGGCTACACTGTCCCAGTTCCACTTGTCCTGTGGAAAGACACTCTCCAACCGTGGCACTTACATCAGTGCCACAGCACCAATGGCCTACAAGGAGGCAGAGACACTGCCTTTCCTTTTCTATAGGCAGAGGGTTTTTGGGGTATTTATCTTCTCTTATGCCCCTGCAGGGCTGCTTGGGTCTGTGAGTGCCAGGAGTGAACATGCTACTTTGAAGAAGCAATAGTTCTTCACAAGTTCTTTCTCTTGGGCAAAACCAACTTTCAGTCACCATCAGGACCAAGTAAAACAGGGGAGCAAAACTGATGAGGATAATCCTTCAACAGTTCTGAGAAAGGATGTTTATGTGTCCAAGTAAGGAATAAACAAAGGCACAGAGAGAGATACCTGCTTCCGATGAGGGATGTAGAAGAGCAGTGGCAGGGAAAAGGCTCTAGTGACAATAGAGACACTAGTAGAAGTGAGCACACACAGTTCTGAAGTAGGTGGACTGATTCGTCACTACCATGGATTACAGCCAGGCAGCAAGCATATTCCCTGTCACCCACTGCACAGAAATGTAGGCATGGAGTAGGATGAAGGCCAAAAGATAGTAGCAACGATGAGAGAAGCAAAGTGTGTGTTGCAACATCTGAGGAGCACTTGCTGCCCCTTCAGCATGCCCCATGCTGTTCTACTCCTACATCCCCTGTCCATTGTTCTACACCTTTCCCAGTAGAGCTTTTGCCTTGCGCGCTAGAGCTGCCAGACACCCGTGGCACTTCAGGCTTATTGGCAGCATGCAGGGAGGGTATAATGCACTACCCTAACCTTAGCAGCTGCCCCACGATAGGCTCTACCACATGAACTTTACGTCATGTTCTGCATATCTGTTAATAGATTATGACACATTTATTCAAAATAAAATACTAGAACTTGAACTTCATCCTTCAGGGCAGAGAAACAAACTGTTTCAAAAGCAGCACATGCTAGAATTGTATTTGTCATTTCGCATGCTAAATGGAAAAAGACCATCTTAACATTGACTTTCACCCACATTCCAGCAAATGATGATGAAAAGCTTTCCAGAAAGCTGCTACCTTGCACCTAGATCCATGTGCAGGTGAAAGAGATACAGCAGATGCTGACAATGTCACAGGTGCTGCTGGGAACCTGCTTATGCAATCACAGCACCTACTTGCAAGGATCATTGCAGCAAAGGCTGCCACACATTGGGCTGCTCTAGCAAGGCTGCAGCCAGCAGCTCGAGTGACTACCCATATTCGACACTTGTGAGACCACATCTGGAGCTCCACGTCTACTTTCAGATCCCCCCACTATAAAAGACACTGACATACTGGGCTGGAGGACTTGCTGTATTGAAGAGCAGCTGAGAGAACTGGTCTGTTAAGCCTTAAGAGGAGAAGGCCAAGAGTCCTTACTGCTGCCTACAACAATCTAATGTGTATGGAAGAAAGGGCACTTTGTGCTACTAAGGTGCACAGTGAAAGGAAAGAGGTGCTAGCTGGAAAAAGGGAAATTCACAACTAGGTAAAAGGAGGGGAAAAAAGTTTACCATGAAGGTCATTAAGCCATGGGGCAGGGATCAGAATGCGTGTGTGATTTCCATCATGGAGATTCTCAGAACTCAGCTGCCCAGGCACCTGAAGAATCTGCTCCCACCAGAGCTACTTTGAGCAGGACCTCCACAGGTCCTTTTCCACCACTGCAATTCTCTGACTGCATGAACAAAACCCCAGCAGAATTCAGGAAAGGGACTTTGCTTTAGACTGCAGTCCAATCTTGGGAGCTCCTCTCTGCTACACATAAAATCTGTAGCCAACAAGAGGCAACAACTGCCAGGCCAATAACAGCACAGCTCTTGGCAAGTAAAGCTGCCTGTCTTCACAAGACGTGTGTCTGAGGCTGCTCAGCTACGTCAGTTTGTGCCAAGCACTGGTTTGATGGTCTTAATAGAGCTGCTGACCTGCTATTTTTGCTTGGCTCCCCTAAGACATTAACCAAGCCATCACTGTGTAAAACACATGCCAGATCTGCAGCACTGATGACAATAAGGCATCCACGGTAGCTCTCCAGCCTTCTGCAGACAGAAGAAAATCCCCTTCTACAACAAGTGAACCGTGCTTGGTCAGACAGTGCCAGTGCAAGCTTCTCCAATTGGAGAATCCCATGCCTAAGAAACCTGCCACTATTTGCCCTAACACACCACCAAGAGACATTTAAGACCAAGAATTTTTGGTATGCAGTTTCCTATGCTGCACAGCTGGCTCTTGCCCTCTCAACCCTGAAGTGACTGACAAAGGAATAAGTTAACAGCCACCAGCTTCTGAAGATGCTGGGCAGCTCCCTTTCCTGCTGCTCAGCAAGAACCAAAATGTTTGTCTGTTCCATCATGTAAGAGGTTCCATATAGACCTTCACCTCCACCATCATCTTCCTCCTGAAGTTTTGCCTCTGTTGGTGATCCTCCTGTATTACTTTTGCCCTTCTCTTAAACTCAGACACTGCACAGAAGAGGTGACAGCTCACTCCTGTCAAGGTCACGTAAAGCCATCACAGCAGCCTGCACTAAGGAGTCTTTGCCTTCTGCTGGACATTGTCCACTACATACAAAATACGCTGCTTGCAGCCTCTGAAGGCTTGATACACAATACCAGCCCCAACAGCATGACCAAGCAAGGGTCAGCACTGTTCTGTTTCCACAGACGGCTGCCCAAGCCAGAGCATGAGTACAGTACTGCTGCAGTAGTGCTAAGGCTCAAGTTGTAGCCACACCTTGCAGCGACGCTTTCCAATAAAACTGCTTCTGACAGCACTATCCAGCTTAAAAAAACAGAAGGTCAAGCTTTTCAGGGAGCCTCCCCACCTAATCCTGCAGTGCAACAGAGCTTACATTCCATAGACAATTGAGCGGTCTAGAGGAAGGGATTGCAAATGCCATCTGGGGTACTGGCAGACATCATCACATTTCATGCTTTTCCACTCCTTGCTGCAACACATGTACTCATAAGCTGAGGCCGTCTGTAACTACATAGAAAAAAAATCTGATTCCTCAATCATTTCAAGTAGAGCTGCAAAAGCCTTTAAATTGCAGACATTACTCTTCACTCGATACCTACAGCAAAGCTAATCCAAATGATCTACATGCATATGATATGGAACAGGAATGTACTGATTGAGTGATACCTCTTTTGGGCATCTCCTGTTTATCCAGGTAAAACAGAAACAGCAAGATGACTAAAGACTTTAAATATTTCAAGGGCCAGAGGGCTGTAGAGCAGGAAAGGGTGTTGCAAATTTAGATGTGCACACTTAATCACACAACAATTAGTGCACATGGTCAAGTTACCAGGTTTCGGCTGTCCCACAGTGTCCCACATGTGCAAGCTCAGCCTGAAGTAAATGTGAAGCAATTCAGCTTAATTTGATGTGCTTCCATTATGAGCTAATGCAAGTTGAGCTACCTTGTGTTTGTCACAAACATGGACATGAAAGTTACTGTGGTACATTCTGTTTAGGAGGATAGCTTGTCAGGCTTTGGAAACCTCATCACATACTTGATCTTTAAGGGTTTTTTTAATGCCCGAGTTGCTTAGATGGATCTCTCCTGAAAATACTCAGTGGAACTCAGGAGGGGACGCCAATTCAGCATAGATCTGTGCACTTCAGCATCTCAAAGATTCAATTTGTTTGAATGAGGCAGAGTATTATCTGGCAAGTAAACAAGTTTGGGTTTTTGTTTTTTTTTTTTAATTTGCTGTTATTTTACTTTATAACAGTCATAGCTCAAATACTTTCATGGTGCTTATGTAAGCCAGAAGCCTATGAGACAAATACAACATTCAAATACATTAAACAATTCCAGGACCCTCAGCTTAATCACAGGAATGTGGAGAACGATGTAGTTCATTTGTTTGTTGTACAACTGATTCAGGAGATTGTCACTGTCAGGATAAGAGAGTATTTTGAAAGAGGCAAGCAAGTCTGTATAATTTTAGGATACAATCAAATGGAATTACTTCCAGGCTTGGATTTATCTGGAAGGCTAAGCAGAAGGAAGATTAGATGCTCACCAATCTATTTCACTGGCACAGTTAATTTCTTAGTCTTGAGGACCACACGACGTATTTTATTCCTGTGCATTTTAAATGCCCAATGAAAGTGGTGTTTGTATATTAATCCAAATTATTAGACTGAAGGGCAGAAGAGTTCTGAGACATGAAGGAATTATAAGAAGATGGGCCCTCCATTCATCCCTCAAGCCCAAGAACACCACTAGTTCCTGAGCTGTAAAGAAATAATGGGAAGCTTAGTATTTTTTAACAACACATCTATGCCCTGCAATGGATATGCAAGCCCCCCAGAAAAGGAGTGAACTGTTCTCCCATGGAACTGGAAGCAACAGAAATACCCACTGGTTGACCAGATTATAATAGTGCATTGCTTTGCACATTGTTGTAATTTCCTTAGGCAAATCCATTACAATTCCTGCCCTTTTCAAATGAAAATTATCTAAATTAGTCAAGCACTTTCTCCTATGTGCTACCCAGGGTTCTCAACTGAAGCAAAAATACCCAACAGCCTAATGGAGGAGGAGGAGCCTGCTTCATTTCCCTTCTCCTTGAGGTGCCTAGAGAGATCAAGAAGTAGGCTAGATTGGGGGAGGAAAATGCACTTGATTTTCATGAAATCCCTAGCAAATGCTCTGATGGAATCTCACATTGAAGCAATCCAAAACTCTTCAGAACACGTGGAAAAGAGGCAGAGTGATGTGCCGGGTCTGGAAAAAAAAGAACAAAGCAGAAGGTACCTCCTTTCACCAGTTACCATTTGCCACAATCCCTTCTGGGCTGTTAAGTCCCTCCAGCTGAATTTACCACTTACATTTCAACCAATACACAATGCAAAGTCAACTCATTGTTAATTTATACTACACTGATCCAAAGATGCTATGGTAAACTAAGCTCCTGCCCATTCTGTGAGTCACATGAGCAATCAGCTCCGTTACAGGACAGGAGAACTTTGGGAGGTCAAAAGACATTTTCCTTTAAGCCCATGATGCAATTGAATTTCAACCTTCCTTAAAGATTTCTCTATCTTTCTTCAGAACTGCAAGCTGAACTACTCTGTCTTCCTCTCTACCCTCCACAGAATCAGGTGGATTATATTTTCTGTCTTGAAAACAGAAATCTCACTGCAGTCAGCTTAACATTTACTATTTTTAGATCATGTAGGTGGACAGACAAATGTAGCCTCTCAGATTGAGAATGGGGGGGAGAGAAGGAACAGTACCTGTAGAGAAGATGCATGTAGAGCAACAGTACAGAAA